CAGCTGAGCTCAGAAATTTCCAATACTAACGACATGGGGTAAAAATGTACAGAAAGCAAAATTCCTCATTGTCATCACCACGTGTAGTTGACCATGTGCATATTTTCATCACTGACAGAGCCAGTGTTCATATATATGTTTTCTCTCCTCAGCTGAGCTGGTAATCGTTTCCCCACTGATTGTGAAAGCTTTCCCACGAATTGAACAACAATTCCGATAATGGTCGTCAACACATGTAGTTGACCATATGCATATTTTTCGTCACTCATAGGTTTTGAAAATATATACCTTTCACCCAACTGAGCTCAGTGGTTTCTCCACAGATTAGGAGAGCTCTTCCACAAATTGAACAATAGTTTCCCACAGTTGTTGTCAACACATGTAGCTGACCATGTGCATATTTAAAAAAGCTCACCTTCCTGCGCGAGTTCAACAGCTTTTTTGATAGCAGCAGCAGTACCCTCAGTGTCCTCAGCCCCCACAGGGACCACAAACTTCTTATTATTACCGTTCACTCCAGCAAGGCGAACGCGGGACATACCGCGTGCACAGTGAGAGAGGGAGAACATGGTTACAGTGGCGAGATAAAGCTGTGTTTGATCAGAAGCTCTCGAGGGGAGTACAAGGCATTTATCCGCTGCCAAAACCACACCGCTGTGGTGTGGTCTATTAAATTTTTTTAATAGTTTCACACACATGATATGATATGATTTGACACATAGTATTGGAGGAATTCATGATACTTTCCCCCAGAGATGGTATTGGTTTAAAATAAATATATATTATATATCCAACCAATTTATGAATAATCTATCGCTTTAATTCAATTTATTTCAAATGTTTATTACCATCTATTACGAGCGTTATATGTGGCTACCATAACAACTGAACATAAGAACTCACAGTAGCTGTGGTCAGTCGAAGAAGTAATTACTATATTGTTAGTATGAATAGTTCATACCACACCTTCGCCAAATCTATACGCCCAAACGTATAATAGCTGTAGTCTGTCGAACGAGTAACTTATAAGCACTTACAGTTCATACCACACCTTCAACACATCTCACTCGGCATCGTGGCTGATGATGAACTCTTTAACCTTCGCACTGTAGTGTAGCCAATACTACGTACCATTGTTCCGCCCGTCTCTTTGCGGGCTCTGTTTATTTGTTTGATTGGTTAAGGTTGATGAACGTTTCACTTGTGACTCGTATAATCTACCATGTCAAACGTGTATAATTCTGTTTCCACAAAAAAAACACATCTCACTATTTGCAAATGGGCAATATAACAACTGATCATAAGAAGCCCCAATAGCAGTGGTTAGTCGAAGAAGTAACTGCTACATTATAAATACTAACATTTCATACCACACCTCCGCCGAATCTTACTGATTCCATATTCGAATTTCCTCCAGTATTACTCAACTCAACAGTTACGGAGTGAACGAGTTATTCGAAATGTCTTCCGCAGAAGAAAACCGAGCCGATTCCACCGACACCAATACGGACCGCATCTACTGTCGGAGGTATCACGATATCATATAGCTACATTTACTCCTGCTACTGCTGCTAATGATGATGATATCATAATCATCATCATAATATTACATATACCATTATACAAACCGGCTTCAACTTCTCACGCCTTGCATATGGTGACTCCTACTACTACTACTGTCACCACTTTCCTCTCCTCCCTGGTCCTGTCGACGACAATGACTCGATGCAACAGCCGGCAACTGAACACACCCCCAATGCATAAAGAGCTGCCCTCGCTTAGCCGACAATCTCCGCTCAGCTATAGGTGGCCCTTTATAACTGATAGCACCACACATAGGAGGGGGGGCGCCGTTGGGATACTTTGGGTGCCGCAGCGGATGCTTATGTCGCGGCGGCTGGACTCCAACCTCGGACGTAGTAGTATCATCTTTTGCTGGCAAGGTAACAACTCCATTGATTCGGTTTTTGCTCTCATCGGGAATCTCATCAGTGGAATTATATTCACCCTCGATTTCTTTTCTCAGCGTCACTCGCCACGAAATTACATCTTTTTTTCCTCCCAAAATAGCCGCTGGACTTCCAATATTCAACGCGTTGAATTCTCCCAGACCAAATTGTGATGCTCTCCTTGATACTCTCCTCCCCCTCTTCCCCATAGACGCTCTCTCGAAACTGTCGCTCCGCAGTGTAGTTGACGACGACACTGAACAATCATCCACAGCACTTGTAGCTCTACCCCCAAAACGAACATACCGAAAAAATACCTCCAACATTGCTAAAGTCGGCGAAGTTACCCTCGCAGACGACGACCCACATGCTTCCAAAATCGCCATTTCCGATGCGCACGCGTGCAAGGGTATTCGTGGCGACATACCACACTTCGGTGAACATCCCCTGCATACTCTCATATCCCATATGTGAGGAAAATACTCATAACAGGTCTCAGAGAACTCTTCCTCGGTCGTCGGCAATTCCCGACAGCCCGTTAGCATTTTTACTAAGCCAGCGAATAGGAAAGCCCCTCCGACTGTTATCCACGTGACCTCAGGTGACATCACCAAACCGCTTCCAGTGATCAACTCTGAGAATGTTTCAACACTAACACCCCTTCTGAAATGTTCTTTGAAATCAATACCACCACCACCTCGCGTTAGAGGTAGTCTTAATCGATCTAACGCCTCGGGACAATACATATCTCTTCGCACATCGAAATGAAAATTAATTTTCCAAACACAGCCAGGAGTCGCTGACTGCGCATATTCCCAGTCCGAACGTCCTCAGGGTGGCCAGCCACTTCACCATCCTTATTTGCAAAGGACAAACTCAACTGTAGTATTT